TAGATCATTTCTTGTCAAGCGTGTGTGCTGCCAATTCTCAGGTCACATACTCGACCGTTTTTCTCACTCAACCTCGATGCGTCGTCCTCTCTTCTTCACATCCGTTCTCTCTCTCTCTCTCGCTCTCTCTCTCACACACACACACACACACACACACACACACACACACACACACCATTCCTCCCATCGCTCACCGCTCCCGTCGCATTGCTCAGTATCCTCTTACGAGGTGGCTCCTTCCGTCACATCCACCCTCATCGGTCGCCGTTCCTTGGTTGCATCAAGAACTTCACTCCAAACGGGAATCTCGGTGGGTCAGCCTCGAGAAACGCATCCCACTTGTGAAGAAGCACGTCCCGAGTACGCCTAGCGTGGGGGCATCCGCTGCCTAATTTGCTTAGAAGCTTCGAAACAACGGCTAGTGATTACATTGAGCCTAGTTACATGCAAACACGAAGGACACTTTTGAGGGGCAACTATCCACCTCCGCGAACAAGTCTATGCCGGGAGTGACGATGATTCACAGGCAGGAAACCTGTCTCCCCTTTCCACCCCTTCTACCACCCCATCTAAAAACCAAGAAAACGAACGGCCACAAATCCCAAGTAAATCCGAAAGTTGTCAAACGGAGGGCAAAAAAAAACAGACTTTCACATTACCTGCTCCACTCTTTCTCGCTATTAACAATACCCTTCCCTCCCTCCCCGCATGCCCATCGTCTCTTCCTTCAAATCAACAGCCTTGTCGACTGCGCAGCGGATACTTTCTTCCGCACTCCGCAAGGCGATTACCATTTGTCGCCCTTCCACTCTGTTCTTGTCAGACAGAGACTACAGATCTTGCCGCTGCAGCCGCCTATAGCAGTTCTGTTGCCACTGTTAAACATCCAGGACGAATTCTCCTCCACGAATTCTCCTGCACGAATTCTCCTCCAACCCCGGTAGAGATGATCGTATCAAGCGTGGACATGATTGGTTGATCGATGTAGCGGCAATCTGACCAGGCTCGCCGTATTTCGAAGATGGTGCAAAGGAAGAGGACTCCGTACAATCTCAAAAGAAAATTGGAACAAGCTGAAAGACCTCGGCAGCAGCTGAGGAGTCAGCTTGAAAGTCTGCAACTCCATAGATGCAAATTCGGTGATGTGGTAATAAGATAAGCCATCTCTGGCTCAAGGACGGACTAGTGCCGACTTCCCTCTGCGACGTTCCCGGTTTTCCAGAAGGGAATTATTATAAACCTCGTGCCCCACGATCATTGCAATCGTCTCCCTCGACGACATAGACACGTGGCGGCCGACCCAAAGAATTAGTTGCTGTTGGAAGATGCTCCACTACCCGATGAAGGGAGGAACAGACGGTGCCTTAACGATTGCGCTTCGCTTAAGTGATCATCCTCACCCATAGGAGAGAAAGGATAATGGCTAACAGGATGGACCACACAATGACGATGGTAGGAGTCTTCTGACTTTTGCCCATCATACCCTGCACGCACCAAGCCGTACAATCAACGCCAAAAAGAGTCAATTAAATCATCATTCGATGGTGCAAGAAAAAGAACGGACGGTATGCGGATGCTTAATGGGAATGCCTGATTAAGAAAAAACGACTAACATCAAAAAGAGTAAATTAAATCATCATTCGATGGTGCAAGAAAAAGAACGGACTATCATCATTTGATGGTGCAAGAAAAAGAAAAAACGACTAAAATCAGCTTCGATGAAGGAACCTCAAAAGTGTGCCCGTGTTCGTACGTGCATCAATATATGTGGATGTACATTTGCATGTGCCCGTATGTACGTACGTATTTGGAGAGAGACACAGAGAGACAGANGAGAGAGAGAGAGAGAGAGAGAGAGAGAGAGAGAGAGAGAGAGAGAGAGAGAGAGAGAGAGAGAGAGAGAGAGAGACGCAGGATACACGTGCAACATCTCCCAGATTGAGAAGAGATGAACAATGCTGCTTACCTTCATGAAGGGGTACATATGCGTCAGCACCCAGACTGAGAAGAAACACATGCCCATCAGTTTACCTGTTTCAAGGAAAACAATGCACCGACAAGGAAAGTCAAAATCACTCCGAGAAACGGTCGAGGAGTGGGACCCGCCCAACCTCTGGGGTTCTCACACAGCAAAACCTCTGCTCGCTGAGGCAGAACTGCATGAATGCGACATACGAGATACAACAATTCGTTGTTGCTTGGAAGCAGGCCTGCAACAGACAAGGTTTGCATGGCTCCTGCAGAAGGGGGAAGAAAATCCAAAAAAGAAAAGGAAGAGGCATGACTCAGACCCCGGGGTCATCCGGGGGGATTCAGGCTGCCGCACATTATCGTGAGGTTCACTGAAAAACAACCAAAAAACCAATTTTATTTTTTTTTACCGGAGATGAGATCTCGTATTCCCCCCAATTCTGTACAGGTCTAGCTTCAGTCCACTACAACATAAGGCGAAAAACGTCATCTGAACGAGACGATTGGAGGGAGCATGGGTAGTACTGCGTGTGCTTACCCCAGTTCTGACTGTCGGCCTTCTGGTACATCTCCCTTGAAACACCAGCGAAGATCGCAACGACGTTGATGATGATGATGGTCAGCGGCGGAACCATCAACCAGGTGAACTGCAGGAGCACCCAGGAATCCAGGATGGCACAATCAGGAAGAGAAATAAGGAAAGCCGTAGGAGGTGGGAGAGGGAGGATGATAGTCGGTAGAGAAACCACAACCAAGACAAGCTGCACGAACAGACAGAAAATGCCAGCATACTAGTCACAGTTTGCTCTCTATAACAACGACTTTATGACATTTCGACTGAACCTGCACGTTAATAACGTTGATTCATAGTTGAATACATTCAGCATGATCTCATCACATTGATGGCATAATGATATCAATCCAGTTCAAGTTTTCGGAGTTTTCCTCCCTGATGGGCCCGATTGTTGGGATTCCTCTAGGATGACTGCGTCGCGGCTGGGCAGCCTTGGCTACGTCGAGTCGTCGACCTGTCTGAATCTTACTGAAAGAGGTGACAAGTAACTTACCCTGAAAGCATATAGCTCTGCAAATTCGTCCTCCTCGTCAGCGCCCTTTGCTGTGAGCGTGAACGATGTGTCGACACCTGCAACGACCTTGAGGAGACCCTGCGAATTCAATGACACAGAAAAGATCAAGTAAGCTTAACTGATACTAAAATCGCGACAAGCCGAGCAAAAGGGCAACCACCGTATTACGAAAAGGAGATCATGGTTAAGTGCGAGCAAGCTATTAAATTACATACCTTCCCTTTCGAATTCCCTTTCCCAAGTTTCCCTTTCAAATTCCCATTTGCGAGAAGTAGTTTGAAAAATGAAGGGATCCTAAATCTGACGGATCATCAAGTCAAATCGGAAGTTAGTAGTTACTACAGTCTTCCCCCGAACATAACGCACCCTGATAATGAATGTATACACACTATCTTTCCGTCCCGATGCAGTCAAAATGATTGTGCGTTGTGTTCGGGGGAAGACGGTAGTCTTAGTAGTCTCCCAGGAGGTCTGATCAGCACGCTCACCTGAACGACGGCTGCAATGTGAGCGCTGGTTCCTCCGATGACCCAGAACTGCTCGTTTCTCCACCACTCCTCCAACGTGACACCTTCAGTCGCCATAAAAAAAACGATTACACGATTTCCAAATCACGACAAGTACCAGAAGATGTCAGCCGGAGGCGCTCCATACGAGTTCGGTACTTGTGATTAGGCTTAGTACGACTTAATCCTGTCCATACACAGGCAATTCTGCTCATAAGAATTGACGTTTCCTCTTGGACGGTGATCCCATCTCAAGCAAACACCCCATCCCTTTCACAATTCCACTCATCCCAGCAATTCACGGACTTCTGGAGGCATGCGTCCATGGGGCACCTGCGATGGTGCCTGCAGCGTAGCTAGCACAGGCGGTTGTTGGACCTCCGGAGCAAGAGCAGAAACCAATTTTTTTATTATTCAAAAGCCCTCCATTCGGATACGTACGATAAGGCACGAGACTTACAATTACGGATTCTTTGTCTTATTTTTAAAAGAAGCTACAGATTCAAATCCGCTTGGCTTACCAAGTCATTGACCCCCCCTCATACTACGGTAGAGGGGGGGAAAAGGACATCATACTAGAGAGATGATGGAGAGAATGAAGAGAGGAAGATAGATGACAATGAGAACGGTAGAACGATGATGTGCATATGAAACGAAGGGACAGAAAAAATGCGCTGCTATTCTATCGCTTTTTCCATCGGGTGGCCACTGCCATTGGTTTAACCAACAGGACTCCTGATCTGTTCATCAAGAAATAGTTCGGAACATACTGACCCGCCTTTCTTAGGTGCAGGACAGAAAAGTCGGGGCCAGCGTATTTGTTTTTCCCAAACCAACCACATACATACGCACACGCACACGCACACACACACGCGCGCACACACACACACACACACACACACACACACACACACACACCCACACACACACACACACACACACACAGA